GGGAATGAGATGATCCTCTACACCGTTGTGACTTCCATTTTGATTCTCGCTTGGGTTCAATTTTCTTTTCTCTCCCCTTTTCTTCACTTTTGCATTTTTTTTTACCTCATTTTCCTGTTCGTCCTTCCTCCCGTTGTCCTTATTGGTAACTATTGCACCATTACTATTAGTAGGGTCACTTGGTTCTGTTTTGCTTATTTCCTCCTTCATCAGTTCGTTAATTTTTAGCGGCTTATATATGATGGGGATCTATGGGAAGCCCCACAACTTGAGTTCCCCCTTGGTGTTATTTCGCGTGTTATACATGAATGTACGTGAGGAAGTGGCCCTGGGTAGGGATGCTTATGCGTATATGTACCATAGGCAAACTATATATGACATATGCGTAAAGAAAGTACCAGGGAGGACACAAATTTGGTAAAAAAAAGAAGGCGACAATTTATCCTACTCTTTGGAGACTTTTTCCTTTTCACAGGGTTTCATTTTTTTTTTTTAAAATTGACTCACGCGAATTTTATTTTTTCGAAAAGGGACCCAGGATTTTTAGTAAAAATTTACGACACTTGTTTTGCGCCATTCGATGTATGAACTGAACGGGTTTAATAAAAAAAAAGGCAGAAAAAAACGGGAAAAATCGGTACGCAGAAGATGGGGGAGGAAAAAATTAGAAGAAGAAAATCCGCAAAAGGTTCACTTAAAAAAAATTACAAATGTTTGACTGTAGCTGATGGTTAGCATGCCCCTCTACATTTCTTTCTTTTCAATTTAAAAAAAAAGATTTCAACCCTGGAGGAACTGTGGGAAAGGGCTGAACGGAGGAGGCAGTAAAATTTTTTAAAATTGGAAAATAATTAAAATAACCGTGTGAAATGGGGAAAAAAAAGGAACATATTTTTTTGTTTCCCTTCTGCAGATTGTGGCATACTGAATTGAATATCTTCTTCGTAACATAAAATCCGCCAGGATTGCCCCAAGTTAGTGTCAAAACCATACCGCGTTATTATAGAGAGAAAAAAAAAATCCTTAATAATGTATAGTGACATTTTCGAATTAAACGGAAGTTATATTGATTGGGCCCATTTTCGAAAGAAATAAATTCAAAGCGGTTAAAAGGAAAACAGCGAGACTGAGAAAAAACTTCAACATTAAGGGGGTATTTTTATGAAGAGAATAATTCCCCCATTCTTATGGCCCATTTTGAAATTAAAAAAAAAAAAAATGACACACAAAAAGGTGCCAATGTATGTATAACCATATGTTGATTTTTTTTTTTCACCTTGTAAGGAGAAAGTTGTGATTTATACCTAAAATGTAGAAGACGTAAAATTGTACTGTCTACCAGAGTGATGAGGGGCGATGGAAAAATGGTGAAAGGAGTAGCAGGAAATATATGCTGTAAGGAAATGTTCATGCGGGAAATATTCCTGAAGATGCCCCCTCCCCCTTTTTGAAGCCTCGCTTTGGGACATCACACCGTATTTTTACTTTTCGCTCAGGTTGAAATAAAGGTGGGATACAATTCGCTTTCGTCGTGGAATGAATATATACATACAACTGTACTTCCCTGTAGTGGGGCGCCTTTTCCCTTCCCCCCGTTGGCCAGCCATACACTTTCTCCCCCCCGTGGGATGAACAAACAACAATATTTTTTATTTCCAAATGGAATAAATCAGGGAGAATATAAAATTACGCCATCCAATGAAAGGGGAGACACGCGCATAACCGCTGCTAAAATTGACCCACATATGGGTATATATAAATGACGCAAAAAATAATCCCATCCACTCTGCATGGTATGCCCCCAGCTTTCGCGAATATTCAACGAATTTGGAGTGATATGCCAACCCAGTTGATACACGCGAGGCGCCATTTTTCGAAAATGGACAGAGGGGGGCATCATTCTTCTTACTCGTTGGCACGCGTGCATAGCGGATGTCGAAATGCACATTCTGCGATGTTGTTACGGCAAAAATGAGGTAAAAATGGGGGGAAAAAAAAAATCAAATAAAAAAATAAAATAAAACAGCGTAGGTTGTTTTTTCCGTTGTGTGAATAGCCAACTGGGCGCACACCACCTGTTGTTCGTATGTTCGCGCGTTGCAATTCCCCCCGTTTGCATGCATACGCGCTGTGCGCACCACGCTTGTTGTGCACTTCCAGGACGTTTGAAGAATCTTCTTTCCTTTAGGGGATAAACATTTGTTAGCATTCGCCGCTGCGCAGTAACTTCTTTCATTCTGTTGTCTTATCTTTCTGTTGCTCGTTTAAGCGTGGCGGAGCTTGCCTGACGTCTTCATCTTTGCGCGTAAAATTGCGCCAGTATGCGGGCAGCATTGCCAAATATGCCGATGCACGCACAAAAATTGCCCAACAGTGCATAGCGTAACAGTTGCGCAAAAGTGCATAGATGGCGAATTTATGACTCGCGTGGAAGGGTAACGCCTTTTTTTTTCTTTTTTCTTCGCACTTTTTCCCAAAATGCAGCAGCCATTTTTTCCTCCGCGTGGTATGCAAGTATGCACATGAACATACGCGAATAAACGCGCAAAACTGCAAACAGACAAATTTCCACAGATAATCCGCGCCTCGCAGCACTGCTTAAAATTATTTTCCAACTTGACCAATTTGAAAAATAAGCGAAAGGTAAAAATATTCCTTCTTCTGCATGGGTGAGTGTTTTATTTTATCTTTATTTTATTTTTTATTTTTTTCCGAAGTGAACGGCTAGAAGAATTGGGAAAATAAAGCTGCATGCGCGTTATTTTCTCCCCCGATATATCGCTCGCTGATCTGGAAAAAAAGGCCAAATTGGCAACACGTGCGCATCGTCGTGTGAGAGACACTTGAGGTAACTTCCCTTTGTGTAAAAAAAAAAAAGAAATCGCAACAGGAGTGTATTATATGTATCTATCCCTACGCACGTGTGCATACTCATGCACGTTTTCTAAGGGAGGATGCAACGCCTGCCATCCCGAGGGAGTTTACGAACAATTCGTGCGGAGCGACCAAACACACGGGAAATAGCCGAATAACGGTAGTTAACACAGAGAAACTCGGCATAACGGTAGTTAACACCGAGTAACTCCGAATAACAGTAATTAACACGGAGTAACTCTGCATAACGGTATTTAACACCGCATAACGTCGCTTCCTTGTGGTAGGCTGCGTAGAAGACAAAACCCACCACAGGGAGCACCGCGCTCACCGGACAAGGAGGCCAAAAAAATAATTTTCCAGAAAGTGTTAAAACACCATGGGAGGATTTGGAAGCAAAAATATGGAATATTACAACTACGCCAGTATGAAACTGCTGGAGAGGGACAAATACACAAATGAAGAGGAAGAAGAAGAGGACGACCACTACTGCAAAGAAACTGACATCCGACAAACAATTCAAAAAGCCAGAGAAATAAGAAACTGTAACTATAAGGAATCGATGGATTTATATATAAAAGCGTTGAAGATGCTAAAAAAGTTAAAAGAAAACAACTCTAGGATATATAAAAATGTCCTCGAATTTGAAATAAGGCCGCAAGAAATAGCTAACAGTGTCTCGTTAAACACTAATTTAGAAAAAAATGTGTACAAGAAAAAAGAGGGTGATAAAAATTACACGTCCACTCTACCGAATGAAAATCAACCCATATCGATAAATAATAAAATTGCATCGCTGTACAACGAAATTGCAGACCTCTGTTGCATTCACGATTTTATAGAAAAATCCCTCTTTTATTATGATAAGGCTTGTTCATATAACCCTTCCAAAATTGATTATATATACAAGAAAGGGGTTTTATTTCAACAAATGAATGAAACGGAGAGGGCCATTAACACTTTCAAAATTATTCTGGCTGCGGAGCCGAACCACATTCCGACATTGTTTTCGCTGGGTAATTTGTACCGATATATAGATAACCATATTGCCCTTTCTTACTTCGAGGCCATCCTCAAAATCGAGCCAAATAACACGGAAGTTTTATCCCTCATTGCTTCCTGCTATGATAACTTGGGGAAACTGAATGAAGCCATTTCGTATCAGAATAAGGCCGTCCAGATCGACCCCGACAATTTCAACCACAAGAAGTTTGCCCAGAGGCTCATCGAAATGAAGTCCCAGAATTGAGTTCGCCCCTGCGGTTAGCCGATCTGCTAAGTGGCCTGTGTAGCGGCGTCATTAAGCTGTTCCACTTGGTCTCTCCGCTTGGCCGCGTCCCATGGGCTCTCCCTTTTTTTGTGATTATTCCCTCGATCGAGATTAATTTTGTGCCCTCGCTTGTACGCGGCCAGGCCCCCTATATCTGTGTTCCCGTGATGCTCACCCGCGATTACGTGTACACGTACCCCAACACATGACCAGCCCTCAATACATGCAATGCATGGCAGAGGTAGCCCTCGCGAGCTGCACACCACCAGTGACATTTTCTTGTGTGTGCGGCGTTTTGTCCTTCCTCCATCGATAAATTGTTAAATCGGTTTACCGCACGTGTGTGTGCACCCCTCTGTCTGTGCTTTTCCTTTTCTTTCCGCCCTGACAATTTCGCCCCAATTTTTAACCCAAGCGTATGTGCATACCTACAGATGCCCCGCAGCTGCGCCTTTTCATTGGTACACTTTAAAATGAGAAGACACACGCACGCGCGTATTTAGTACATGTCGAAGAGGTGGCTCGAATCGGATTCGCGCCCCCCAGCTGAGGGGGCAGCAGAGTCATGTTTCCTGCGGTCTCGCAAGAGTACACAAATGGGCAAAGAAAAAAAGGGAAGAAATAAAAAAAAAACACATTTGTTTGATTCACAAAATGACGAAAAAAAATGAGCACTGCATGGCGAACGGGGGTGGTGGTGTAGTACCCCCATCGCGACAACAACAAAAAAAAAAAAAAAGGAATACAAAGCAATGTGCTCGGGAAATCCAGATGGGCAACCATACAAAATGCGTATTTAAGGATTTAATGCGAAGCGAAGTGGCACAAAAACAAATGTGCCGCTTTTCCTCCCCTACTAATCGTCAAAAGTCGATAAGAACAAGGACTCCACAAAATCGAATAGGACTTTGTGTATCCATATGTACGGCCTGAAGCCAGACAAAAACAACCCCTCATTGCCCCTCTTGTACAACAAATAAATGAGGTTATTATTTTTCGAAATTTTTATGATGTCAAAATGAGTGAAATGGAAATTTCTGGAGTCTGAGCAGAAAATGAAAACCAGGGGGAATTGAAAATGTTCAATATTTTTCGAAATAAATTGGTTGGCTGAATCTTGTAGCATGTACAAAAAAACCTTTAACAATTTGTAATCCTTTGGATAAAAAAAATGGGGAATTATGATGGACATGTCACTGGTAGACACAAAACTGCTATTCCGCTTAAACTCTTTTTTCTCATTAAGGAAATTTATTTCTTTCGTGAATTGGTAAAATTTGTGGCTCTCGCAAAAGCTAAAATAGGTTTCTTCGTTAAAATACGTGCATATGTATATCCATACTAGGTAGTTGTACACGTTATAAATGAAGGAAAGGTTAAACAAAAATTTTTCTTGCGCGTTTCCTTGGAAGTTGTTTTTTTCAAAATATATTTTCCACTTGTCATAAATAGCCTTGGCATTAAAATATACTTTCATTGCGCTTTGGAACGATTCTTCACGTGGAGAATTTCCCCCGTATATTTTATGGACCTCTTTCTGTGCTGCGCGGGGTTGGTCCTTGGAGAGTGGCGCCCCGTTCGGAGAGTGCCCCTCGTTGGTTAGGCCCTCCAGGGGGACCAAGCAGTCGTAATTGGGGAAGTCCCCACTTGGGAAGCCACAATTGGGGGACACTCCATTTGCGAAGTCACAATCGTTGGGGAATTTGGCGCCCCTTTCGCGCTCGCCACACAACAACGATATGTCCGCTTCGAAGAAGTTCCTCTGGAAGCAGCAATCACGAGGGTTGGAAGAGCGTGACACTTCGCCGTTACCACTCATAATGGGTACATGTGCGCTGCCGGAGTGATCTACCAAATGGCTACCATCGTGATGATTCTGCCAGGAGAGATGGCTCCCTCTGAAGAAGCTCTGATTCGTTGCGCTTTCTCTACTCTTGTTGGTGGTGCTAAACCGATGACTGTCTTCATCATTCGTCAAGTCTGTGCGACAAATATCGAGTTGCCCATCGTTCATGTCGTTCGGGATGGATTCATTGCCACTGCTACGCCTGACGTTGTTAAGACGCTCACTGTTACTGCTTCGTGTGGATTTTCCTATGTTGAGGAAACTTCCCTTCTTACCGCTGGAATTGCACCGATTTTCATTTTGGTAATTGTGATTGGGATGGGGATCGGGATGTGCATCAGTTTTAACAAAGCTGAGGGAGAAGAGGTTATTATCGTCGCCATTCGTTGGTTTAATGGGATAATTCGAGAAATCCCCATCACTTGGATTTCCACTCAAAGGAATTTCTCCATTGTTAAGAGATAGGTCAGCAACGGAGTGTCTACTTAGCGAAGCTTGGCAATCTTCCCCATTATTAACACCTTCCACGGGCTCTTCTGCCTCCTCCCTACTGGTGGGCACTCCAAAGCGCAAGGTGCCCCCCGAGGTACTTCCCTCGCCCTGGGGACCTCGCCTATTTGGTGCCTCAAAACGGACACGGTGAAATAAAGACGCCTTGAAAAATTTCGTCAACTCACTCGTGCAGGAGAAGAAGTACCTCTGCTTAATGAGGGTCGAAAAGGATTTCCAAAAAATATGCACAGAATAAAAAATTGTATGTATTAGGGAGAATTTTTTTTTTTTTGTCTCCTTAAAATCATCTGGATAATTAAATATGTCAAACATATTACTGTAGGAAAAATTTATTAAAAGGCATATTTCTTTTGTGCCTTTTTTTCCATATTCATCACATGTGGAGGTATCCGAATAATTACTCTCCTCTTCCGGAAGTAGTACATTTTTATTTTTAATAAACGAGTTTATCATCATTTGATCTCTGTCCATGATATTTTTTTCTTGCTGTGTCTTTTTGCATTCGGGGTTTTTGAAATTTCTTGTGATTTTATTTTTTATTCGGAAAAAGCTGTACCTAAATTTTTGCGAAATGCCTGATGGGTCTTCGACCTGACGTCCCTCCGTCATCACCTTGGTTTCTTTATTTCGGAATTTGTCAAGTACGTTTATCTTTATCATTTTTTTTTTTTTTTTCATCGAACTTGTGTCAAAGTCAGGGGGGGGAGCTTCGATCGGTTTGGGTCCCTCTTCTCTGTCGTTGAGAGAGTGGATATAATCTTCGTCGTCCTCCTCGTTTTGGACCTCATTGTGGTCACCATTACGGTTTTCCTTGTCTTCTCCTACGCCTTCATCATATTGCCCGACTCCACTATCCCCCGGTTGTTTATGGAGTCTCTCACCACGCACTGTGCCAAGGGAGATGGTCGACTCATGGCCAACCAGGTCTTCCCCCTCACCTGCCGCAGAATGGGCCAAACGGGGGATTGCCCGTTGGTTACTGTCCCTATTGTTACAATGGGGATTGCCCTCCTTATCGCTGTTTACGTCCTTTTTGTTCCTGGCACTTTTAATGTTATATTTAGACATGTCAGAATACAAGTTGTTGTCGCCTTCCATCGCAGGAACTGCGTTAAATTCGCTCTCCTTCACGAAGTTGTTTTTCCCCCAAATGTCTTTACCTTTGTTAAAAAAATTTAATTTAGATAGATTCATAAATGACTCTATTTTTTTCTTTTTCCATTTTTCTTTCATATTTTTTATTTTTCCCATATGTTTTTTTTTTTTCTTATTTTTTGCAGAAATGGACGAGTCATTATTCAGGTCACCGTTTCCTTCTTGTGTGTGTCTGTCATCGGATTTTTCGTCTCCCCCTTTGTGATGGCAATCCGTATAATCGGAATACTCCTGCTCAGCTTCGTATTGTTCTCCTCCTTTTCCTTCCATACGGTGCCCTCCCATGGGTCGGTTATTCACAACATCATCGTGGCTACATCTCACGGGGTGATTATCCATCTTGTCATCCACCCCATGTATATGTATCACAGGCAGGTTTGTCACTTGGTAAGAGACTCCATATGACTCATTCGGGTTTTCCTCCATAAAGTTTCTGCTATGGGCAGAATGCTGTCCCTCTTGTTTGTCCTTCACATGGTTATGGTGCAAAATGGAATTTTCATCCTTTCGCAGTCTCATGTCAGATATCAAATTTTCAATGTGCCATTTTTTAACTTCTTTAAAGCAGTTTTTCCCATTTGTGCGTTCACTTTCGCCTTTTTTTTTTTCTTTAAAAAAAATATTCATAATATTATTTTTATAACTCGGCTGATTTATCATTTCGTCTTCTTCGCTTTTGTTGGTCTGCCCAATTTTCGAATTGTTTTTTTCCTTTTCTTTACTCTGATTATTTAATGGGTCCAATTTCTGGTCGGCGTTCCCCTTCACTTTGTAATTTAATAGCGAGTATTTGTACGCACTGGCATTGTGTAAATTGAAATGGGGAGTTTTGCTATTATCACCTGTTGTTTTGTTTTTTTTCTTTTTGTAAATTTTTTCCAAAAAGTAATTTAGCAGAATATTTGTGCCATCATTGAAGCCGAGGAAAACGAAATTGTGATTTTTAAAAATTGATTTAAAATGTGCCATGGCAATATTCAAATCGTTGTAGTTGTCGCTATAGAAGGAGAATGGGCATGAGAAAAGCGGCGCGTTGAACTGAGTGTTTGTTCCTCCCGCAGCATGTACCTCTCCATCTTTCCTCGTTTTTACACTTGCACAAGTTTTTAATGTCGTCTCTAAATTGAGATTATCACATGCACTTCTGTTCCTATTACTGTTGTCCACCTTTTCGAAGAGTCGACTAGAAATCTGGTTGTCGTCGTCGGGCACGCGCTTCTTCTCATCATGGAGGAAGTTCTCACGCAAGGGGGGATCTCTGTCCTGGCTTGTCTTGTAAGATGAAACAGGCTGTTTAGGTGGCATTCCACTGTTTTCATGCGGACAGCCATGGATGTACTGCTGATTTACATTTCCGCTTGGCTTTCCCCCAATGGCAACACCATTTCTACTTTCCACATTGGCAATATTCAGTATGTTGGCATTTTTGTTGCTAAAAATGAACGGAATGGACAAGCCAAAATTAATGTTAATATGGACGTGCACACAGATATATCCCAGCAATTTGGCGATAACTGTGAAGGAGTCTATTTTCACATCTTTCGCAAGTACGTAATATAGAGGCACAGTGTTCTTTACTTCTTCTAGGTTCAGATAATTGTAAAATATTTCCGGAACGATTACGATTATTCCTTTCACATTTTTGTACTTCCACTTATTCATGTGGGTTCTTATTTTATCCTCCACGGCGTTTTCGTTGCTGCCGTCCCCATCAATTTTGTTTTTCTGTTCGGGTGTGCACTTTTGTGAACCTATCGTCAGTCCATTCTGCTTCCTACCTGTGTGTACTTCTTCCGATTCTTCTATAGTGGATGACTCCCCCGAGAGGGAGTTCTGATGTCCACTTTGTTCGTCACATGCGTCAAATTGTTCGCCTTGGACGTGGCTTCTCTTCACTGTGGCTTCTTCCTTCCCTGCGGCTTCTTCCTTCACTGCGTTTTCTTGCCCCTGTGTGGGACACCTCCCATGGTTCCCATTTGTCCTGTCCTGTTCAACGTGATCCTCTTCTGCCCCTCCCTCGGGTGGGTCCCCTCCATCCACATGGGACTCATTAGACTCCTTTAAGAATTCCTCCTTAAATATGCAGGCAAACTGGAAATACTGAATCAGGACGGTATCTTGCAGGTAGAGAAACTGGACATGGGCATCATTTATCGGTCCTATATTCAGCGCGGCTTTCCATTTCTGGTCAATTAAAATGAGTTTGATTTTTTTCTCCTGTTTTATATTTACCAAATCGTACAAATCGATTTCGTAGTTATCCTTTTTCGCACTTTCATAGCTTTTTTTTTTTTTCTTAACAGTACAATTGGGCAGATAGTAGTCCACAATTACAACTCCAAAGTTGTTATTATTGAGAACTTCCCTTGTGTTGATGTTGGACTTGAGGCACATATTCTCGTACACTCGTGTATATTCAATAATGAAGAAGAAAAATTGCCATAATTTGTTTCTCACCCATTTTTTAATTTGGCCAGCAGTTGCTCCTATGAACTGAGGTATGTTTAGTGTTCCTTTGCATTTTGTCTTACGTGTGTTGCTATTCTTTGTTTTCTCTTTCCTTTTCTTTCTCGTTTCCTTTTCCTTTTCTTTCGTTTTTTTCCATATGAGGTGATTTACGTATGCCTTCTTTTTTTCCACGTAAATGTAGAAGATGTGCACAAACAGTTGTTGCAGCACTGGGTGCAACAGGTAAAGCGGGCTCCGGTAAACTCGCTCCAGGCTGCTGCATCTGGTGTGGAGTGGAAGAGAGTTACATTGTGTAATGACATTAGGTGTTGGTTCTGTTTGGCTTCCTTTTGCAGATCGGACATAGAAACACAAGACAGGGAACATTCCATGTTTTCCTTCTCCCTCGGTAAGTAGCATTTCTTGGCATGTTCCACGGGCTGGTTGGCACACCAAAATGATGAACAAGCGGAGGGTGTGACCTCCTCCTTTCCTTACCCTTTGAGAATCCGCAGAGATTTGTTTCCAATCGAAAAGACCAACCCCTTTGCGCAAAAATTATAATCGAATATGAAAAATAAAATTAACAAAACAAAGAGAATGGTAAATAAATCCATTATTGTCACTCTTTAGGGAATCTCATGGGAGGGTTGGCATGCTTGGCCTTTTCTTGGGCAGGAGGCATCTTCCGCCGAGCGTTTTCAGCACTCGCAAGGGTGTATGGGGGGATTCATATATGCATCAATACGTACATGGGCCAATACGTATATGCGTTAATTTTTACACGCCTAAAGCGTGCAGGCTTATACACCCAGGTCAGGAAATTTCCTTCAGCTCGTTGTGTAACCGAACAGGTGGGAACTCCTCTGCGCACCGATCGTGGAGTTCATTTTTCGTCCCCCCTCCTATTTTCCCAAGCGCTATGACATGATGGCTGGGGGTGATAAGCGTACGCACAACAAGTCAGCGCGGCGTTTACAAGCAGAAGTTCGCATGCCCCCACGGTGAACCTTCGTGTAAACGAGCGGCTAAAAGGTTCCCATGAAATATGTAAGGAATAATAGCCACAAGAAAAAAATGACATATCTTATTTCCTGTTTAATGGATTACATTAGTGGAGTTTTTTTCTTTTTTTTTTCTTTTCTTATTCATAGCGAGTAAATTGCGTTCATCCCTGCGTAGCCGTCAAAACATCGGGCACTTTCCTTACTGAGAAAATTAATTACGGATCCGGAAGTTTCCATTTCGGGATGTGCCAGTGGGCGGAGCGCGGACAGTGTCCCTATTTTATCGGCAAATAAAAAGGGGGACAACGAAGGTGGCGTATTGCAAAAAAAATCCTGCTTCGTGTTTGATTTTTTTTTCCGTAAGGCTAATCAAGCGAATGCGCAATGATGCGTGATGATAGACCTACCCGTAGGCGCAAGCACGAAGCGAATTTGAGATTAAACAAAGCAGCAAAGAGGTAGCGAGGTAAAGAGGTATAACACCGCAACGCAGAAGGAGTTAAGCGGACAGAGCGGGCACTCCAACCAGCCATCCCACTTTAACGAGGCAGAATAAACCACGCGGGGGAGAAAAAACCCCACCGAATATTCCCCTCAGAAAAAATGGCGTCGAAGAATAGAAGCTATAGAGAGGACCATGCCGATGAATACTACCACGGGAGGGAGAATGCCAAAGGGAATTTTCACACCCGAGGAGTTGGAGCTGGACCTGAAGGATGGGAGGGGCATGACAAGGATAGGGACGTACCCTGGGAGTATCACGACGGCAACAGTACTGCCCACCAGGATAATTATGCCATAAAGCAGCACGACAACGGATACATGGATAGGTCCTACGGGGAGTGGTACGAGTCGGGGCATGGCGACAGAGGGGATCGACCATACGACAAATACCATGGAGATCGGCAACAGTACGACCCCAAGAGGGGGAAGAGGAAGTACGAACAGAGGAGAAACACCCCAGCGAGCCTAGAAATAGGATATGGGGCTAGAGCCGACTCAGGGCATTATGAGAAGTACAACAGTAACAGAGCAACAGGGGGTGCGGAGGACGGGGAGAGGGAAAACAGGAAGATCTGGGCAAACCATCACAACTACGGCAAAGATGGGAACAGAGGTAGCTTCAGAGATGGTCACAGAGATGGCAACAGAGGTGATTACAGAAGAAGCGAACACAAGTCCTTTTCCAGATATAAGGAGGGTGCAAGAAGGGAGTCGTACAATAACAGCAGCATGGAGGATAGCCAGAGTGAGTATGCGTCCGGGTCGGATGAAGGGAATGATAAATACCGTCCGTACGGAGAGAAGAAATACAAAGTGGGGGGAAATTTCAACGAGCAAGGGGAATTACTCCAGCGGGGAAATTACTCCCGAGGGGGATACCCCTATGGAGGTCACACGAACAGTGGTTATCCCCGTGAGGGACTCACAACAAAAAAAATCAACAATGTGAATGATGTGCTGGAAATGAAGAGCAACATAGAGTTGTCCAGATTCATTTTTATTTACAAGCTGGGAGAAAATATAACAGAAGAAGAAATAGAAGACATGATGAGGAATACAGCCATCAGTAATGCATTCTCCCTGCCACTGAACATATACATAAATAGATTGTCGTTCTTTTCTGTGAAGGAAGAATTATTCGTAAGGGAGGGCCTCGAGTTTATAAAAAATAACTCCTACTTTAACAATATCCAGTTGAGTATATTAAATACACAAATGAATAATCAAATTAACGATGATCGATGTTGCATCGTTGAATTTCCATCCAATGAAGCATCCGCAAAGTTGTTTTCTTTGTATGAGAAGAATAAATGCCGCATTGAAATCGGAAAGAACATCTCGTATATATTTCCCCTATTCAAGATGAAGAAAAAACTGAATAAAACAACCGTGGAAGATAAACAGGCGCAAAAAAAATTCTATGATTGGCACTGCTCTTATTGTAACTTTGTCAACTTCTCTCGTAGAAGTTCTTGTTTTTTTTGCAAAGAAATGAAAACTAGTGATGCGAAAATGGTGGAGAACGAGACCAAGGTACCTCCTAATGTGTTTATACAGAACGGGGCCATGATGGGCGCTCCTTCTGCGCAGGAGGGGGGGCCCTACGGGGCGAAGAGTGTATTTAGCGGCATTCCCAACGTGGCGCAAGCGGCGTTTGGCCTTCCCAGCAGTAACGCCCCCCTTGGGGGGAACGGCGTGTCTAATTCGGAGGTAGGCTTCAGTCAGGGAGAAGTCAATCCCGCAGTTGCAGCAGTCACATCGGTCGCAGAAGCCACATCAGCCGCATCAGTTGCAGGAACGGTAGGAGCCGCCGGCGGGGGGGTGTACCCAGTGAACGCCCCCCCCCTGCAGCAAATGGAAGAAAACTCGACGGAAAATTTCGAAACGTCCATCAAGGAAATCCTAGCAGATGTCGATAAAACCAACATGCTGATATTGAAAGACATTGATGGAAGCATCCCAAAAGAAGACCTTTTAAAGTTTATCAACGAAGTGTTCGAAAATAGGCACGTCAATTATCTGTACCTGTTTAATGACATAAGGAGCTCAAGTAAAAAGAAAGGATTTTGTTTCGTGGAATTCGAGAGGGCAAGTTACGCAGAGCAAATGATGAACGAACTGGAAGGAAATTTCTACATCAATTATAAAAATGATTTCTTTAAGTTGGATTATGTGTACGAGAAGGGGAAGGAATACTTTTTCCATTCCATTAGTTTGGCAAAATTGAACATTAACAAATCCGCAGCAACTGTTCTTATGAAAAATTATATTCCTCATTTTAACTTTTTCGTCAGCTACATGGAGAGCGTTGTAAATATGATGAGCATACAGAACTACACGTTCTTCCTTTTTTGGTCCTCTCAAGTGATTATACTTAAGAAGGAGAAACCGGCACTCAGTGAATTTTTTTTTGATTACAATACTCAGTATTATTACCACCCCGTTTTTCAAATTTATTTTGACAACAGGACGAATTTTTATATGTCTCTTTCTAAGGGGTACTACATATGGAATGACAAGATTGGGTGCCTCGTGAGGATGTACATGGGGAATGAGGAACAGGTAAATGCCGATCATGGTGGGGGTGATGAGAAGGCAGTAGGGATACACACATCAGCCACGTTGGTCACTTCAGACCATGAGGAGCAGCATCAGAAGGGACGCATGGAGGACGCCCCGTCGGGGCACCCCGTCCAGGCAGTGAACAACGGTGAGCTCACCGCTGAAGAGAATAACCCCATCTCGGGGGGAAGCGTTGTGGGTAATAGCGGCGCCAACCAGAGCGGTGGTAATGAACACGTGGGCGCTGTGAACCCTACTGCTAGCGCAAGCGGTGACGGTGGGAAGGTCGCCGGTCCAAATTTGCCGCCTAATGAAGAGGCCTCCAAAAATACAGCCTCAGACAAAATATCCAGCCTAGTGGAAAGAGCCAAGATGATAGCCCTGGCCTCCAAAAAGAACATTGAGCAAATGAACATGAACGAAGCGAACTCAACCAATGTGGAAAAAAAAAGCAAAGAAATAATTAGGAAACATTTCGCTACCGACTCGGCCGATGAAGATAACGACGACCTTTCTGACAAGGAAGAGTTGCACAAAAAAGGATACCCCAACAGCACTGCATATAACAAGGGTAGCCAACTGCATAAGGGGCCCACTAGAATTACCAACACAACAATGGAAGGTGGCAGTAGTTACCATAAATCATCGTACAAGACGAAGAATCCCTTTATTGACAATCTCGCCAAAGCACACAATAGGGGTCAATGGGCTGGCTCTACGAAGGAACATAATAATGCGAGCAATTTGAGTGAACCCAATAGAGTACCCAATTCCGAAGCAGCCAGAGCAGAAGGGACAAACGAGCACCCTTCCAACAGTGGCAACGATTTAAACATCTGTTTTATTTGCCTGCGGAAGTTTGCAAATGCGCATCTCTTGCAGAAGCATGTTGATATGTCCTCTCTGCATAAGAGGAACCTCCAGATTTCGATGGACGTTGTGAGTGCTGGTTAGTGCGACCGATGGGTGAAGATGTTCAGTGGGGGGGTGGTTGGAGGACATGTAGATCGGCGTAGAGCCGTGTAGAGCGGGAAAAGTGGTCTCCTTTTTTGGAAGTCCTCTCATGCTCACGTTCGCATTTGTAGGCAAATTCGTTGCTCAATTTGCTACCCCGTTGAAGTAATTTTTTTTTAAAAAAACGGAAAATTTTACAACGTTGCGAAGAGCACGTGTGTAGGTGTATACACAAGTGGGTAGTTTCTTCCCCCCACTAGAGTGTCATTTTTTGCCTCACCTCTGCACCCGCAAAAGGGCATTGGCAACATATTTCCCCCGTGAGGGCAAATGCATGAAGCATGTTCACATGTACCATTTGGCTCACCAACTTTTGTTCACCCGTCCGTTTTACTTTTTTTTTATTACGTTGTTGGATCCCTTTGCTCGTACCTGTTTTGGTGCCTCACAAAAATGGAGCAAAAATGGGGCAAAAAAGGGGGGCATATTAAATAAAAGGAAAAGTAGCCAATTGGGGCTGCTTCCCCACTTGAAATAAATCAACATCGAGAGTGAAACATTAACAGGGATGGTATTAACCGATCTTTTGTGAATTGATACTACTCCCCCCTTTTTCGGGGCTTCAAATTTGCGAGCGCTTGCGTTGACCTTTACGAATGCCGTGGCGATTCAGTGATTGACACTGTCAGGCAACATTTTTGTATTTTTCTTTTTCCTTTTCCCCCCAATTGCGGTTACCGGCGGTGATGAAAAATTCCGCCCCTATCCCCCTTTGGCTAGCGAAAGAGAACCACTTCATCACCCCATCTCTCCGCGTTGTTCCACTGTGAGTACATCGCTACAAGCCTGAATGGCGATGCGTAGGTATCATTCCACACCAATTTGGATTCCTGCATTGCATTCGTGGTTTGCGTGACTCATTTTGAGGCGTTTTAAACGGCATGGAAATCTTGTGCGAGTGCTTTTCGCTTCTCCGACTCTCCCGTTCTTCGCAGGTCGTGCCATTTTGATGCCCAATTTGTTGGCTCCCTCGGAAAGGGCGCCCAGTTGCAAAGTTCCCGTTTGGCGTCACCGGGACGGAGGTTCGCCCTCAATTGGTAAGTCGAGTTGTGTCGCCCGCGAAGGGACGCACACTTAAGCGGCTCTACTTCACCTCTTCGCACTTAAACGGCTTTGCTTCAAATCTTCACATGTTCGCAGCATCACGGCTGCACCGCGACCATGCACAAGAATGAAGACATCAGGGGAAAGGGCTCCCCGGCGAACGAGGAGTGGATGGGGAGAAACCACCTGATCTTGGTGCTGGACGTAAATTTCATGATCTGGTACGAAGGACTAAAAATTAAGTTCGACAAGAACAACGTAAAGACGCTGAGCCTACCGGAATTTCTAAAGTCTACATTTCATTTCGTACGCTTCTATTGCCTGATGAGTAGCGCAGAGAGAATATGCCTCATAGCTACATCGCTACGGAGCTGTAGAATTCTGTACGAAAATTACGTGTCCTATGCAAAGAACAATTTGACCGAAAGGGACTATTGTGAGGAGGCATATAAGAAGCTAATCGAATTTATAAGTGAAAATAAAACTGAGAAGATGATGGAAAGTAGCCTTTCATCAGCACTGGCAGTGGCTTTATGCTACAATCACAGAATGGTAAACATGTACGAGAATATGAAGGGCAGGATCTTCCTGCTAGACATCTCGAATCAGACTTATGTGTATACAAATCAGTACACCCAATTAATGAACATAGCGTATAATGCCAAAAGGAATAATATCATAATTGATGTTTTTTCCCTTAATTACAAAATACAGCTATTGGAACAAATTTGTAACATTACGAATGGCCTTTACATTGATAGCAGCATTTTTTTTAACGTAAAGTGTACAGATAATATTGAGGATGTGCTGACGCAGACGATGATTTTTTGGTTCCTTCCGTCTAACAATACAAGGAAATATTTTTCCAATACGTACCTAAATGACGATACTAACATTGCTGTCTGCTCTTGCCATAATAAGCAGGTGGACATTGCTTACATCTGCTCCTGCTGCTTAGCTATTTACTGTTCTGAGAAGGATGATAAAACGAATAAGGATAGAACTTCTTGCTTTGTTTGTAAGACTCGCTTTACAAAGGCGCTTTTGCGAAACAAAATTGTGTCCGACTTGGACTTTTCCTCCATTTGACGTGGGCCAGTGGGTTCCTCGGGAAGGAAAATACACACGTGGGCGGTGATTCTGCACGGTGGGTTCACAATGGTTGTGACATGTCTGCACTATGGTGAGTGGACCACGTATGCGCTATGGTAAGTGTGCGTCTTCATCCACCGTCAGTGACCCCAATTGGGTTGCTCGATTGGTCGATTACTCGACTACTCGATTGCTTCATTTCGCTCCTTTTTTCGCTTTTTTTTCGCTCTTTTTTTGTACTGCAACACTGCCAACAACTTTCACAAAAGAAACTTCTACATCCGTGCAATGTTGCACCTTCGTGTAACACATAATAGCGATTTTTTGAATTATCTTAAAAAAAGGAGTAAGAAAAAATGAAATAAATATATTATTAAGTTATAAAAGGGGAGAGAAAAAAAAAAAAATTGGCTGTATACGCACACGTATACGTATGCACGCTTACAAAAAGGCATATATACACATAGACATATACGGGCATGAATTTAAATTAGAAGGCAAAGGGGGGGGTTGGGATGCGTAACAGAGGAACAAACATGAACAAGACATGTTTTTACCTGCTTGTAGACATGGACGTATACATTAAACTAAAAAAAGTTATCACAAGAGAAGGGAGAGTTGGCATAAAATGAGAAATGATTAAGGGAATGAGATTAAACGTGGGAGCATAAAATCTTTAAAAAAAAAAAAAAAGGGGGGGGCAGAGGGGTGCGGGCGTACGACCTCAGTAAATATATATAACAACGCAGGTACGCTGGTGCGAATGGGCGAAGTAGCAATTGCTGGCGAATGCAAGCAAATATTTGCCAATATATATAGGTAATACATCTGTACCTTTGTACATTTGTACAGAGGTATATATTGTGACACATGCGAATACGCCCGCCCCACGCAGTGCTCTACCATATACACGAAAAAGAATGATACAAATTAATTTCATTTTTTTTTCTTTTTTTTTTTTTCCTTCACTTGATGTGTCAAATTTTTTATATGAATTTTTACTCCCAATCGGTAATAGCTGGAGTGGGGACATAACATATATTGCTCTCATTTCGATATATTTCTTCGGGCTGGTTGGAGGGGAGAAAACCAAGCGGCTGCAAAGAACGAACGAAATGGGCACAATAGGCGAAAGTACTATATACGCGCGTTACTTCCCCTGCTAGATGTGCATGAAGGTACACGCTGAAAGTGTGCTCTCTGTCGGGGTAAATCTAAATTGAATTCATTGAAAATGTTTACATGCGGTGGGAAGGGGTCCTCCCCCCCAATCCATGAGGCCTGGACGGTGGACCATAAACCCAAATCGCTAAAATCTGCTTTATTTATCCTTCCCTGTGGTTTAGTTATCTGTTCTCCATCTCTACTGGGATCACCCGGAGAGCTTCAATAAGGAGGGTCTGCCAAAGAGCCAGTCCTCCCAGACGTTCCAACAGCACGCCTAAAGTTAAACTTCCCCGTTGAAGGGCAACACGAGCTTCTTCCCATACCATTTGGCCATCGCAAAGTAGTAGAAAAAGTCAATGTAGAGAAGAGTCTGAATAAGCCCCCCTAACCAACCAACTACGTTAATGTATGGTTTCTCATCAAAGAAATATCTATAGATCCAATTCAATATATAAAAGGCTCTGTACATACCCATGGTGATAACATAATGGGAGGTGATGTTTTCCACTTCTCTCTGTTTCTCTAGCAGCACTAGTTGAGGAAGAATTGCGACACTTTCAAGCCATATGGAAAAGGACCACAGGATATTATACAGGTTGTACGTCCGGCACGTTATAAGGCTTAGAACTGCACAGGTGGGGGAAGAAAAATAAACGAGCATATATGGGGGGGATGGCAAAGAGCTGGAATGTTTGCGAGACATAACTGCACATCGCAAGAACAACATGTGGCTGCACAAATTTTCGCATCTGCTTTTGTCTCCAGCAGCACAACGTGCCTTCCATACCTAGACAGGGAGGGATCAAATACTTCTCGCTCTTAAAATTGTCCACTTTCCTATTGTAGGTTTGCGAGATGGGAAGCTTGAATCTGATTAGATATATCGTGTACGCTATGGTCAGTATGAAGGTTATTTTCATGACAGTGTTGTAGAAGCTGACAAACACGAAGAAGAGGTCGATGTATCTGTAGGAAGGAAAGGAGGCACGGATGTGATGTCACTTGGATGCAGCGCGTACGGGGGGTAAAACCATTCTATGGCGACGCTACGAATGGGACTCTACAATTGGGACTCTACAGTCGCGCCTCTATAATTGCGCCTCGCCATACATTAGAGGCAATCGCTCCGCCGCTCCCAGCGATCCGTCTCGATTACCTGCACAAGAAGACTATCAAATACAACTCCTGCATGCGGCATGATATTCCAATACAATTTTTAGACTTCTTCAACTTCATAATAAGTATATACATACTTACAAGGTGTAAAATGTCTCCTATCAGTCTGAATATATTCATTTTGTCATTAATTTGTTTTGTTAAAAATGGGTTAGAGGGTTTGGTTCACTCTTTATTTAAGGCAAGTTTGTCTACGTTGCTGTGTTGTTCTGTGTCTTGGCTGCTTTATACAATTTTTCGATGCTTCATTCAGAAGCTTGCGGGGTGCCTAAAAGGGAGCATTATATAATTTGGCAGGTGAGTACGGATAATCATAGAAGCAAATAGGCAAAAGGGGGGAAAAGATCACCGGGACAGAACAGAACCCTTGTGCGCTCTATGTCGACACCCGTTCTGTTGCCACACGCGCGTGGATTTGCACGTACTTAAGTTGTGCTCACTGAATATGCACTTGGCCGTGG